TCGGCTGGTGACGTCTTCAGCATGTGTGTCTAATGGAGTTGTATAGGTTCTGGGCCGTGTCTATCGGTAGATTGGTGTTCTTTACCCGTTTATAGAGTGTGTAAGATATCTGTTTCGTCATCCACTGAGTAACGTGGGAATCTGCTAATTTATATCGTTCAAGATGTGCCTCGTTATCTGGCGGCGTTGTAATTGAGCCGTCGATCAAGCAGCCTAGGCGTTGGGTCCGTAGCATTCTTGTAACGTACGTCGTCCAGCGGTTGATATCTTTCTTATCCGTCAATATTGGAACGCCTCTCAGTGGCTGCAACCTGGAGGTATCTGGGAGCTTTGTCCAATCGAATTAATGCGATTACGGGTTTCGCCATTATCAGGCCTATTGGAAGGCTTTGTTTCTGGTATTTCTACTATTTCGGCGTGCGTAAGGGGGTCGTTTGAACGTTGGTATTAGTTTTAACTAGATATCGAACAAGGACCTGATAATCTCTCAGAAGCTCGAAGACACAACGGAGCAGCAAAACGAATGCCTCGACGTCTAGCTGAGCACTAGAAAAGCAGATAAATAGGCGTAGGAATGATGAATAATGATGGCCTGCAAGACAGCAGGCAATACTATGGCTATTTATCTGTACATGCTGCTCACCGATCGGCCGTCTGGTGCCTAAGCGAAATGGTGCAGGGAGTGGCGGCGGCGGCCCATCACATCCGAGACGCCGGTCAAACACCGGCTCTAACTAACACTATTAAAGCTAGCTATCAAAGCTGTCAGAGCAGGCGGTAAGGTAGTTGGTGTCAAGCGCTTCGTAGCATCCAGAATGCTGCCTCATATCTCCCTTGGTCATCTTCTTAAGGGTCAAAGGGGAACCTATACCATCGCCAAACAGCTTCAAGAGACAGTTTGGCTCGCCCGTAATTAAATTCCAGCTCACGAGTTTTATGTTGAATACGAGCTGATCTATTCAGGAATCAAGACAAGCACTGTGATTGTTAAAGGCGTCCATCACTTTCGCCTCGATAGAGTAGTTTATAACTTCATCCTGGATATGAACGTATCCATTTCCAAGGTCAGTATCAGCAATGGACTAAAAATTAACAATTAACATCAAAATGCGCTTAAGATGCCTGTCTTTCAGGATCCTGTAGCCTTGCCAACTCCAAAAGTAAGCGGTATATATAAATAGTCATATCCACCTCTCTAAACGCCTGTGAAAACCATTCCCGGCCATGGTCAGCAACCTCCTTTGCCCGCCGACATCCAGACTCGGTTAAAGTAAGATAAGAAAGCAGCTCGGGTAGTTCCTCCATGCTCTGGCTAAGGGGTATATAATGCACCCATGGAACCAGACGGTCATCATGCCACTCCCGCAATAATGTCTGTTTCAAGGGCGTTGATTTTGAGGCTAGTAGCTTGTAATAGCGCCCACTGATGGCATTACCATCGATATCAAAGACTAGCCGAGACCCGAATGCTTTGTCCTTGTCTGCCCATGGCTTGGAAGGGAAGAAAGTTCTTTGCTCTCTGCAGTATCTAGTCTTGCACTGGAATATCTTGGTGAAGGCAACGTCGTATAGTCTAGTGTTGAGAAAGTATGACTTGACGCTGCTGATCACGCCGTTAGTCTCGCGGATATACTTGTGTTTGCGTGTTTCCAGATTCTGTGCGAGAGTAACGAATCTTTGGCGGTGGAAGTGTTTCCAGGAGCCTGTCTGTGCAAATGCACCGGTTGTGGAGCCCGCCCAGTAGAGGTTGTTGCGTTTCTTATGCCATTCAACGTCATTTTTGCCGTCGTACTGAAATTCGGATTCAATGTAGGCGGGACTAGGGAATAAGATGTCACCCATTGTGAGTGGGGAGCCTGTTGATAAGATGGGTACCAAACCCTCGAACAGACGGAGGGAAGTCGGACTCATAAAGAGACCGTTCATAGTAGCGTATTCAGGGTGGGTACATAGGTTCATGTCCTCTGTTCGGTTGGTGACAAAAGGAAGACCGTATGTTTCCACTCTGTTGCTGGAAGGGCTGTTCTCGGAGCGACAATTCTTGGTGATAGGCTCCCAAGCTGGCTGTCTCGACAGATTGGTCAGTTTGAACTGAGTGCCTTCAACCTCCTTTTTGCCTGGAGGGACAATAACTCTTGGTTCGTCCAAGTGGTTGACGAGGAACTTGACATCTGGGAGGGCTCCCGGTACATCTTTCAGCAGAGTATCAAACAGCAGCTGTATGTGTCTGTCAAAGGAGCGACTTGGATGGTGGCATTGAGTCTTAGCTCTAGAGCCGTGAAAAGTGCAGAGCCAAAGTTCGCTGTCAGTAGTGCTGTGGGCGCGATCCATGGTTTCAAGTACTTGTTCGCCGCTCAGTCTTCGAAATGGAGATACGGCAGTGTGTATCATATCAAAGTCATCGATGATGGGGGATTGGTGAGATCTGGCAAAGTTGTACCATGCCTCGAACCCTGGAGGTGGCTCATTGCCGTATCGACGCTGATATTCGGCATGAGCAGCAGTATAATTTTGAGACTGTCTGCCGAGAAGCTCTTCAAAGTCTTTCGTACCCCTGTGGATGAGTGTCTCGACGGGATGCTTGCTGTAGATAGCAATCTGTGAGGAGTATGCGGACTTGATAGCGATGATATTGGCCATAAACGGACCCAAAGAGGCTAGGGAGAAGATCCAGAGAGCCGACTTGTTTGAGACGTGCCTTGGGAGCGTGTGGATAGTCTGGCCCAAGGCAAAGAGGGATGCTATTACATGGGACAGGGCCTTGGTATCAGAGGACTGCATAAAGGGGCTAAGGGTTGACAAGATGCCAAAGGTGCCTGTTGCAGCAGCCGTGCACCAGGAGGAATATCTAGCCTGGGGTGTATTGTAAGCATAAACATGGCCAATTAAAAAGAAAGAGGAGCAGCAGCCGTGAACATACTGCTTTGATGATGGAATACCATGATAGAGACTTTGCAAAGCCGAGTATCAGAGTGGCGAGGACACCCCCTGACGGCCAGCCGAAGAGAGCAACCTCCACGCCGAGGGAGACGAGCAGAAGAGGGACAACTCGCAGCGAGACAGGAAGAACGACATCCTCAATGTTGGCGTCTGGCAGCAAAGACGCCTTCTTCTTCCTGTCTGACTTTGGCATGAAAGTGAGGTAGGCTCCAAACAGGGCGAGGACAGGGAGAGCCGAGAGAGCATGGCCCCTGAAATCCCAGTCCGACAGGGTGATAATGAACAAGACAGCCACCAGCACAGATCCCCATAGTGTATTCGCCAGGGGGTAAAACAGCCAGGAGGAAGAAGCAGCAACAGAAGAAGAGGCGGAGGAAGCAAAAAAAGTAGAAGAGCCAAAGTGTCTCTGAGCGAGCAGAAGCAAGGGAGTCAAGGCTGGCTGCTCCTGTCAGTCTTCCCTTGAACGTAACAACATAGACATGGGATATAGATGCAGACACAGGGTATAATAGAGATGCGTTTAAGAACTCACGTAGAACGCTTGCAGACGGATTTCAGCTCTGGAGAGACAGGACAGGACTATGCAAAGGGCGGCCGTCCAGACAGACAAGGAGGAAGAGGAGCGCCGGGGCGAGTATCGCAGGCTCAGGGGACCAGCCCCAGCGCTTGAGGAGCGAGCCGGCGAGCCCAGGGGCCATCCCGCAGCCCTGAAGAGCGCCGGCAGGGCCAGCCAGCAGAGGATCTCGGAGCAGAGCTCGATGGGGCCGGGCCGCGAGACGGTGGACGAGGACGCTGC